TTTTTTTTTTTTTTTTTTTTTTTTTTTTTTTTTTTTTTTTTTTTTTTTTTTTTTTTTCTATACATTTGCAAACAATTTGATTAGCTTCTTTTTGAAGATTACTAAATACCACCTACTTATACCAGGCTTCTGATGAGATTTGAGACTGGCAAGAAACGAAGGAACTAACTTCAACATCTGGTATATTTCCTTTGAAATGAACATGTAAGTATTTTACTCTTATCTGTGCAAATTAATGTACAAAACACAAGTATTGTATCTTGTGGGTAATGGCAGTGGACAAAGTAGCTGGTTATTGCATTACATTAAATCATATCTTTGAGAACGCACTTTTTAAGAATTACATCGAGATAAAATATGTTTGAATGCTAGTTTAGAGGAAAAAGTCATGCTTACGAGCTTATAACATTACACCAACTATTGTATCTCATAAATGAAGCAAAGCAAATTCATACAAGAATTATTATCACCCAAAGCTTTACGTAGGATTTCATCATAAATTAGGCAAATTAATAGCGAATAGTTGCGATATTTTGTTGGTCTGACTTATATAATGCGTGTATTTATACCCTATAGATATATTCCATACTTATTGATTTAATAAATAGAAGCTCAACTTTTAATTCATTTTTCAAAGTATGGATTACTGTTTTGGATAATTTAATGTAAAAACTTATTCAAATACATTGAGAAAATTATTCATTAAAAAATACTCGTGATAAACGAGTATTTTACAGTCACATAATCTTGATTCTCGTGTTGTCCCCTTGTGGACTGGAAGGAAATCAATGTATACGGAAGTAGAACAGTTCATTGCAAAAAGTAGGTGCGCACTCGGTTATAAAAATAAATTGCATGATATTATCTGAGAGTTGTAAAAGAACAAGGGGGTTACACACTTGCCTACAGCTTATCAGCAGCAAACGGGAATCGACGAGCTTCGCGCCGCAACGTTGGAAAGAGTTAAAAGAGCCATAGACCCCGAGGTTGAAGAAACTAAAAAGAAGAAAAAAAAAGGCGCATCAGCAACTGCAGCATAAGAACGCAAAGGATGAGAGGGAGAAAACAACGGCAAGCTTTGTTGGCCCCGGTACTCCCACCAGCAGCAGCCAGCAATGAGAAGTATATGGGTAGTCCTTCCTCTTGGCTGGCACATGAGGGCCCGTTCCTCGTTTTCTTCGAGCCCGTTCGCTTCCTCATTCTCTTCCGTTAAGAAAACGAGCTCCTGCAACTGTGCCACCGCTATAGAGAAAGAAAGAGAGAGCCAACTCCCATCAGGCGAGCTAACATAGCTGCCGTTGCACGTGAGGAGGAGTATATCAGTATACACACACGAGAGCCTAGACGACGTCGTCGCCAAAGTCACCTAACGGCTTCCTGTGGAGCCTGCCGGCCGTGGGTACCGCTCTTCCTCGGGAATCTGCGCACACGTATACACGTACACACGTGTGCCCAAGTACCAACATATGGATGCACGTGTGCACTGCAACCAGGAAAAGAGAGAGAGAGAGAGAGAGAGGGGCTTGACATAACGAGCCCCCGCTAGAAAGACCTGCTGCTCCCGCCTTGGCTGCTGAAGAAGAGAAGAGAGGAAAAAAAAAAAAAAAAAAAAAACAAGAAAGGAGGAAGAAGAAGAAGAAGAGAGGGAGAGCGAGCTATAGCTAGCTAGGTAGCGATCATCGGAGGAAATCACCCGTGTCTTGTTATATTGTACATCTGAATTGATATATGTGTGTGCCGATGAACGTAGAAAAAAACATCCACCACAACATGTCCTCGTTCTCCGAGACGGCGGCGATGAACCACTTGCAAAAGAGCGG